ACTGCAATAAGTCTGCACACTACAATGAAAAACCCCACTCTCTGCAACTAGAGAAGGCCCTTTGTGTAGCAATGAAGACCCAGCGCAGCCAAAAACAAATATTTTAACATTTATTAAAAATAATGAATTAGGTCTATAGTATAATCAAACCTGCACAATTCAGTTGTATATAAATTGTAATTGCATATGTATGCAACCATTTGTGTAATATCTATTTCCCCACCCAACTCTATAAGTCATGTTTTCTTGTCTACTATTCTATCTCCAGTCCTTAGCAAGTTGTATATGCTAACTAAATGTAGCATGACTGGCTGAATGAATGAATGTAGTGAGAATACCTTAGATAGCAGGTGCTCAATAAATGTCTGAACTTTATTTCAGTTAAACCCAGATCCTCTGTCATAGTGAAAGCACTCAGATTTGAGCTTCAGAGATGGGAACATGAATTTGCAGAGATCACACCTAAATATATAACCAAGAAAAACTCTGAACATGTTCAACAGGAAAAAGGAATAAAAATTTTCCTAGGAGGGCTCTTCATGATAGCAGAAATCATGATAGAATGTCCAGAGAGAGGAGAATGAAAGATTGTGGTATAGTCGCACATGGAATACTACACAGCCATCAAAATGCATGAACTCAGGAATATGTAACAATATGAATATTAGTATATGAAGTAAAAATAATAAGCCAAAAACTACATACTCAGTATTACTCTATAATAAAGTTTTTAAAAAAGCCTAAAAAAAGTTGGGAATACAAAAAGCTGAGATAAACTAATAAAAAGGAAAAAAGAATGGGACCTATGTAAACTCAAAAGCTTTTTCACAGCAAAGAAAACAACAAACAAAATGAAAAGACAACCCACAGATTGGGAGAAAAATTTGCAAATGATGTGACTGATAATGGATTAGTCTCCGAATTTTGCAAACAGCTTATGATGCTGAAGAGCATTAAAACAAACAACCTATTCAAAGAATGTGGGAAGACTTGAATAGACATTTCTTCAAAAAGGACATACAGTTGGCCAATAGACACATGAAAAGATGTTCAACATTGCTAGTTATTAGAGAAACGCAAATCAAAACTACAATGAGATATCACCTCACACTGATCAGTAAATGGCTATCATCAAAAAAAACCCACAAACAACAAATCCTGGAGAGAGTGTGGAGAGAAGGGAACCCTCCTACACTGTTGGTGGGAATGTAAATTGGTACAGCCACGGTGAAGAACAGTATGGAGATTCCTTAAAAAACTAAAAACAGAGCTATCATATGACCCTGCAATCCCACTCCTGGGCATGTACCAGAGAAAAACATGATCCGAAAGGATACGTGCACCCCAATGTTCATTGCAGAACTGTTTACAATAGCCAAGACATGGAAGCAACCTAAATGTCCATTGACAGAGGAATGGATAAGAAGATGTGGTACATATAAACAATTGAATCTTACGTGGCCATTAAAAAGAATGAAATAATGCCATTTGCAGCAACATGCATCCATGTTGCTGCACACCTAGAGTGTGTCATACTGAGTAAAGTCAGACAAAGAAGGAGAAATATTGAACGACATCCCTTATATGTGAAATCTAAGAAGAAATGATACAAATGAACTTACAACACAGAAAGAGGCTCACAGACTTAGAAAATGAACTTACGATTGCCAAGGAGAAGGGATAGTTAGGGACTTTGGGAAGGTCATGTACACATTGCTTTATTTTAAATGGATAACCAACAAGGACCTATTATTGTATAGCACGCGGGACTCGGCTCCATGTTATGTGCCAGCCTGGATGGGAGAGGGATTTGGAGAATGGATACATGTATATGTATGACTAAGTCCCTTCGCTATTCACCTGAAAGGTTAAAATTTGGAAAAAAAATAAAAAGGAAAAAAGAATGGTGGATACTTTGGGAGAAAGATGGAGTTTAGTTATCACCAAGATCTTAGCTTTCATGTGGTAAGTTCTTATGACAGTACTGTAATTAAACAAATGCGTTCTGTGCATAGGGCAATGAAAAGAATGTGTCATGAAACAAGGGTATGATTAATCTAATTCTGTGCACCTGACAACCATTAAAGGCAAGTAAGAAATTACACCTACTTCCTCCAGGTAGCCTCACTGGTTTGGGGGTCGTGGGGGAAAGATTCTTCATTTCCAGGCCTCTCTGGGGATTTCTCGAGGGACTGTCTCTAGGTTCTTCTCCTGGAGAGGTGAGCTGGTGGCACAGAGGTGGGGAAGCAGGGATGGGAGTAATCCAGGGTTTAGCTACTTCAGAAAGAGGGTCCTGGAATTGGTGGAGTAGGAACCTGGAGACGAGGGTCAGCTTCCGTTCCCCCCATTCTCTAGGCTAGGAACTGCAGGGTGTGTGGTCTGCCACTCATTTCTTGTTTTGCTTCACTGAAGACATCAGGATGGGGTGAGAAGGAGCTTCAGAGGTGGTCCATAAAGACTGGGACTGTGGCCACATGGTAGAGAGTTGTAAGCATTCTGGATACTGGGGAGCTGGGTCCAGCGGAGGCCAAAACCACCATCTTCAAAATTCAGTTTGGAATTCCAGGGCTGCTGACTCACATTTTACATTCCTTTTTTTCAGCCTGCGCCATCCTTGGTACCCCCTGCCTCTCAACCCCACCTTCTCTGCTCTTCCCTTTTTTCATCCCAGCTCTATTTCCTAATCCTGTTCTCTCACCTCTACTTTTACCAAGCCCCTAAATGAGGCCCTACTTTGTGAAAAAAGGGATAAGGGGGAGACCCTGGGAGGGCAGCTTCAAACTTTTCACCTTAGGGGAAGGAGCTGGTCAGAATGTACTGGGCCTGAGTCTTACCTTTAGGAAAGGGGTCAAGGTCAGGCTACACGGGGCTAAAGGTACAAAAGGGGCTGGAGATTGTACTGGACTAAACTAGCAGTCCTGAGATCGGGGCTGGAGATCAGGCTGGATGGGACTGGGCTAGGAAACATGGGGAAGGAGCTGGGTTCAGGCTGAGCTGGGATCTGGGGGTAAGGGCCTGGGCTTCTGCAGTAGGGCCAGGCTGGGATACCCAGTTGGGCTGAAACAAATTTTCCAGCATCATGCTGGGCCTGGGACGAAGCCCTCAACTGCACCTGAGAACAGAGGATATGACAGCTTTGAAGGGCTTCTTACTTCCCCACTCCCCAGCAACGCCTCCTGAACAAGGGCCTTCCCCAGAGGGGCCGCTGGGGCAAACAGGGAGGAGCCAGAGCTGGGGCTCCAGAGGAAGTCGCTGGTCACCGCTTCCTGAGTTCAAAAAGTGGGTTCTCCTGTCTCTCTGGCCCACTCCCTTTCCCCAAGCAGGGTAGAGTCTGGGCCTAGCCATCTACTTCTCCCCATGACCCCCACCTCCCTTTTAGAAACACACACACAGAGAATGGGAACCTGCACGTGCTGAAACCCAGTCACAGGCCCACCCTGGCAGGCCCATAACCCAACATGATCATACTGCCAAGCCATGCATTCAAAAGTACATCCTCCTTTATGTACTTGTAGCTGCCAATCACACCTAGTGGTCATGCCTTCTCTGTCTTGTTCAGCACCACATCCCTAGCACCTGGAGTTGCCTCAATGCATATTAGTTGAATGAATGAATCCACTAAGACATACATCATAAATAAAAGCATATACAAGCCCACACACCTATTCATAGACTCCCTTACATACACATATCCAAGCCCTCTTTCAGAAGTTACTACATACACTAGCTCACACTCAGGCAAAAAAGCCAGATGTTACCTAGTGCCTGACACACACACTGCAGATAGGCATCACCTAGGACTTCCAGGGTGAGTTGGTGGTCATAGATGGCTGGTAAATGTCCTTCAGTCAGATCGGGCCTGCAGAGGGGTGGGATGTGTGTGTGTGTGTGTATACAAGTGCAGGCCTTGGAGTTTTGAGGTGTTGGGGCAACAAGGACCTCGGCTGGTGCCAGGCAAGGCCAAGGTAACTGCACGGACTGGAGGGTGGGGCTGGGCCAGAAGGTCCTTTGCTCTTGTTTCTTCCTGCCAGCTAGGAGGTGGGGGCAGAAGTGCAGGTCTATTCAGGCCTTACTTCAGATCCAGAGACAATAGGGGAACAGTGAGGCCCCAGATTCCTGTCTGGGATGAAAAGGAGGGAGACTGGGAAATCCCTAGCACTTTCACTGTCACGACCTGGGTTCAATCCCTGGTCAGGAAACTTAAGATCCCAAAAGCTTATCTTGAACGCTAGGCGGCACAGTCCCCCACCCCGCCAAAAATGAGGGAGACTGGGTAGGAGACTTTGCAGGTGCTAATAGTACATCCCGAACCCAATGCAGGGTATCCCTACCTTGCCAATCTTCAGGAACAGTGGGGGAGGAAGTGAATAAGGGAGAATCATCACCACCTGGAAATGAGTCTGAGACTATTCCTCCTCCTTCCTCTCTTTGGAGCTTCAGGCCATCCTGAACATTAGCACTGAAGCATCCTCGTCCCTCTGTGCCTCCACCCAAAGTCAGCAAGGAGACAAGCTTACTCTCTCCTCCTTTCCCACCCAGGGTCCTCACTCCTGGGGAGACTAGTGCAGAGCTCAGCTGGGCTGGTAAGCTAGAGGCCAGGTAGGGATAGGAAGCTTACAGACAAAAACAGGCCTGAGTCTCCCGAGCATTAGACTGTTAGACCAAGTCTAATGGTCCAGAGCTCCTGCAATCCAAGCTGCTTACCAGGTGAGAACCCCTTCCCTCACCCCACCCCTAGCTCCCTAATTCAAGGCCATCTATGCCAGGAACCCTGCCTCTGAAGGACCAGGAGAGTTAGGGGGTGTGGAACAGCAATCCGGGAAGGGACCGCCTGGGAAACAGGAAGAGCAACACCAGAAGAGTAAGGTAAAAGGGAGATGGGGGGGTGGGGAGGAATTCACAACTCATACCTCCTCCCCAGTGGCTGTTTGTAAAGGCTGTGGGAAGGAGGGGAAAAGGCTGCCTTGGACTGAGACACAGGCATCAATGACCAAACAAAACACTCTCAAACCAAAAAGTCTCTTTATTGATCGATACCATACATGACTCAAATGGCCCAAAAAAAAAAAAAAAAAAAAAAAAAGGCGTTACAGTTGGGGTGGGACATCCATCTTCCCTACCCCTTCCCTCAGCTCCTGACACAACACCCTTCCAATAGTGGCAGCTGGAGTGGAGGAAACAGGATGTGGGGGGCCCCAAATCCAGAAGGAAGTGGGGAGAGGTGGTGCTAACACTTCTGGAACTGGCCACAGGAGAAGGCAGCGAAGCCAGAGCTGGGCCCAGACTCGTGGGACCCTGCTCTTGGCCTCACCCTGGGCCCAGAGCCTCCACACATCCATCCAATTGTGAGGCAGAGCTGAGGATCCTGGCTGCCTCCTGTCCTTCTGTGAAGAAGGGGAGGAAGGAGATATTGGGAGATGAAGAGCCTTTACTTCAGCTGGAGGACAAAAGCCTATTGCTCCCTGGTGGGCTTAGAGCTGGGGACATCCTCAGTGGCTCCTACCCCTCTGAAGGGCAGGGGAGGACTAGATATGCAGTTTGAGGAGGTGGGAAAAGGAGAGTACTGGAGAGTAGATGAACTCCCTCCTCCACCCCCATGCCTGCCCAACTGAGACAAAACAAAAACACAGTAACAAACAAGGCTGTTCCCTTCCCTCCACACTCCCTGAGGGAGGGAGCCCCCCCCCTCCCCCCAGGCAGACAGCTGCTCTAGGGGAGGGCTGGTGAAGAATATACACACCGTGGAGGGAGGGGGTGGGGACTGGGACAGAGGGAGTCACAAGCACTAGGAGGGCAGGCCACAGTCCTAGAGGAGGGAGACAAAGACAACAGCAGGGGGCTGTCACATGGGTGAGGCCATCAATGGCTCCCAGCCCCGTGGCGTGCCTTCCACACTCCAGTCACCCCGAGGAGAAGGGAAGAGAGATGGCAAAGGGTCTCCTTGGTCTGAAGCTCTCAAACTGTTATCAAATGGTAACGCACAGCCCCCTTCCTCCACATGGGCTCTAAGCTCCCCATCTGCCAGGCCAAGGGAGGTAGCTGGACCTTTAATAAGGGGAAGAGGGGGGGACATGAGTGATTTTTTTTTAAAACTTACATTTTTAATAATATTATTTTTTTAAAAACTTGGAGCTGGGATAGATGGCAGGAGGGAGGAGTCCAGAGCTTTACCCCTCTACTACCAGCCACCTAAAGGGAGAGTTTGGGGAAGGGGCATTCAACCAAGCCCCATGACTTTAAGTCCCTAAGGGCTGTGGGTGTAGACAACCCTGGGCTTGAAGGGGGTGGAGTCAGGAAGATGGGGGTACCCAGAACCTGGGGTGAGGATGGAGGCAAATGCCCTGGGCGGGGGGTGGGGGGGTGGTCAGGACATTTCTCAGAGGCCCAGGGTCCACGCAGGCATCCGCATGAGGCCCCCCTTCCCCCAAAAGGCTCTGCAGAGGCCAGCCCCAGCCCAGGGCCACTGGGGGACAAATCTTGGCACCTGCCCCCAGTAAGTCCAGTTCCTCCCTGAAGCGGGGGGATGAGGCTGCCCATATCAGATGCTCAGTCTCTTCATTCTGTCTTCTGCTCCCTGGGGCTGCGAGGGGTGGGGCAGGCAGGCAGAGCGCTGGGTGGCTGTGGCGGGGCCTCTACTGGGAGGCCTGTGACGTGGGGTTCTCCGATTTGCTCTCTTGGCTGGATGGAGGCTTGCTGTTCCAGGGGCTGTTGGCGCCCAGGGCAGGGGAGTTGTTAAAGCTGTCCTCGTCGTCAATGCCGTTGGCCGCGTCAAACTGGGTGTTCTCCAGCCGGGTGATGAGCCTCTCGTCCTCGTCCCCGAACTCCCCGCCCATCAGGGTGGGCTCCCCCACCACCATCACATCCTGAGAGTGGCGGAGGTCCCCAAACATAATCGGGGCAGGGGCTCGCCCAGCCCAGGGCAGCAGATTCCCCCAGAGCCCCAACACCCACCCAGGAAACTCAACCCCCACCCACCGGCTCATATCCCAGTTTACAACCCCATCTCCTCTGACACCCTCAGCCCCTAGAATACTTCCAACTGAAAGACTACAAAAGCATCACAGCCTTTAACCCACATCCACTGGATTCTGGGAGAAGTCGATCTACTCCACCAGCTCCCTAATCCATCTCTCCAAAATTTTAGGGGGCTCCTAAACTTCTGTCCACATGTAAGAGAGGGAGCAGATAAAAAACACCAGTGGCGGGGGGACTATGTGCACGTGCACGTGTGTGTATTCTAGATCCACACACATTTAAGTCTCTGTGTCCTTCTGTTAGTATGTGTCTCTCTGGTGGTCTGTGTGCCCCTAACCTGTCTGTCCTTTATGTCCAGATGTCCCCATGGCTGTGTCCGTCCCTTTGTGTCCTATGTTGCTATGTCTGAGTCTATGTGACCACAGCCATGCATATGACTGACAAGAACTCTCAGACAGGAGTTAGCCCCCAGTGGGAAAAACTGTCTTGTCTTTGCTTCTAGGTGTGCTAGTGAGCTCAGGGTGGGACAGGGTTAAGACTCAGAGGTTAGCAGTGGGGCAGCCCAGAAGAGAGAAGAAAGCCGAGATGCTTACAGGTACCTGGCTGGAGAGGGCGAAGGTGCTGGCTGGGCTTTTCTTCTTGCTGTTGCTGTTGTTGGTGTTGCCGCCCCCCGAGCTCATGGTGCTGCCCCCAGACATCTTCCGTTTCCGCCGTTTGCTGGGCTGCTGCCGTGCAGGCTCCGCTGTGCCAGGGAAAAGGAGACTCAGGAAGGGTAAGGCCTGGGGCTCCCTGTTCCCCAATCTGGCTCCTAAGGAGCCTGAGCCTACCCTGATCCCAATCTTGCAGACCCAGGAGCAAGGAAAGGGCTTCGTGAGGAGTTAAGAGATACAGCCTTGAGGAGCAGCATCACATCCTAGAAAGAGCAGGTGCAAGTGCAAGGCACTCACCGGGGGGCGCTACCATGCGCTGCCACTTCTGGAAAAGGCAGGTCTTGAGGCAGTCACGGGGGCTGAGGCTGTAGGTCTTGTGGCGGGACATAAGCTCCTGCATGGGCTCGAGTATCACACAAAGCTGGGGGGAGACCAGTTGGTGGCTTGTCAGGGGACAGGCGTGGAGCAGAGACCAAATGGGATGGGGCAGAAACGAGGTGATCAGAGACTCACTCGGAGGTAGTTGAGAGTGGAATTGGACAGCCCACACCGGGTGATGTTTTTGGAGAGCTGATCTAACATCTGGGGATCCTGGGCCTGGAGAAGAAAGTTAAGAATACTAGCACCTGCTTACGTGCCCAGTCAACTGAGCCTCGCGACACCCCGAACAGAGGAGGAGCTACTATATAAAAATTCACTTCTCAGATAGATAAATTTCAACCCTGTTTAGGGCCACGGCAGGAAATATGGCACACCAGGTTCCACCCTTCCTGCTGCCCGCCTGCACCCTGGTGTCTTAGGTCCTGCCTATAACTCACATGCATGGCAAGGATGCTTCGGGGGATGAGCTCTCGGTGCTGCCGGATGCTGAAGTGCCACGTCTTTATCCGCATCATGTCGTCAAACATGAACTCCAGGTACAACCGGCCTTCCACACAAACCTGGAAACAAGCTTGTCACAGGTCTGCCCACCTCCCCACACACCCAAAAGTATACTTGTTCCCATTTCCTCATGACTCACACTGCACACACTCCTGTCACCTGAACATAAATTTGGGTGTGCACAACTGAACCATCTCCTCGCACACCCGCCAATCCAGTCCATACACACACACGCACAGCAGAAATGCTTAATAGATCCTGTCCTCTCCTCATGTAGCCAGTAAAACACTCGTCTGCTATAAGCTCCATGAGGACGGGCTTGTGTTCACTTGTGTCCCCATGACCCAAAAAACTGTCACCTACAAACTCAATACATGTCTGCTGAAAACTGCAGCATGCCTGCCTGCCCTGCATATCTTGCCACTTCCCTGGGTATCATTCAAGTACATTTTGGGGAGCCAGTAGAGGAATCAAACTTAGGCCCTTCAGTGTTTCACATCCAACTGGGTGCTGACCTGGGTGAACATGGGTTTGCCGTGCTGGGTCACCATGCTGCCCTGGTCACAGTCAAGGGAAACGAAGTTGCTGTGGAATGCCTCTTTGGGGTGCTTAAGCACATAGTAGAGCTCTGTAGCACCCCCCTCGAAGATGCTGCGGAAGTAGCGCGGGATCAGGGTCCGGCCAATGGCTGCAGAGACGGGACAAACTCTTCAGGATAGAAGGCTCTCAGAGGCGGTCAGACAGGTAACATCCCTGTCAGGAGAGATCCCCTGGGACAAACACCCAGCCCCACATCTTTGGACACAGGAGGTGTATACTTTTATAGCAGAACTGGCAGGACCTGCAGAGGCCACTCACTGTATCTCTTTGGTCCATCCTCCAGGCAGAAAGTGATGGTTAACATGGCATCATCCTCAAAGAACTCAGTTGTGAAAGCATCCCACCAGAGATTGTCACACTCCTAAGGAGCACAGGGAGGGGTGCGTGTATCAGCAGACATGGCACAGGGATGCCCAGATGGCCTTCTCCCTCCCAGCTCCTTTCCCCTGGCTATACCTCTGTCCAGTTTTGAAGCCGTTTGTTAAGCTCGAATATTCTGTAGTCAGTTTGGTTGCCATATGGTGTGTGCCTTCTGGGGGAAGTGAAGAAGGGAGGTCAGTAGGAGCAGACCCTCCCCCCCCCACCTCTGCCTTTACCTCTGTAATGGAGAGAACCAACCTCCCCACTGGACTCCACTTACCCGATCCCAGGCTCCAAGTATGTAGGTGGGTACATGGGAGTTGGGCTGTGAAAGGGAAAAGGCTATGAGAATGGGGTAGAAGACAGGAATTATTTGGGGGTGTCACTCCATCCCCTTGCAGGATGCCATATGGGGAAGGGACAGGAAGAAGAAAAGAAACTCACCCCACATCCCGATCTAGCATGGTGCCGGGATGGAAGGGCGGGAAGGCGTTGCCGTTGGGGGGCTCCTTCGGTGAGTACAGCTTGAATGACTTTGAGGAACAACCTAAAAGGGAAACAAAGAAGGGGTCCCCCGAGTCCCTCTTGGGAGTGCTCCTGGAAGGCTGTTAAGACTGTATGCACAGGAACTGGTCTTCTGGAGCACCCGAGTACACTGTGAAAGGGAGATTACCCCAGGGAGCAACTATCCCATCTTCTAAATCTGGCTCCAATTTTGTTTTACAAACTAGAAGTTCTCAGTCCTAATACTCAAGAGCCCATTTCTTCATGTGGCTGAGCCCTGGATGACAGAATTGAAACTGGAAAGAAATGTTAATAACCAGAGGATAAATATATAAACATCAGAATCTAAAATTCTGAAAACTCCCTTTTCATCTACATTATTTTGTGTAGTCATTACCACAATCCTGTGTGGCAGCAGAACTGACTCTAACATTCCCATCTTACAAACTAAAAGCTCAAGGCTACTAAAGGGACTTGCCGAGTTGGTAACTGGCAGAACCAGGACTTGAGCCTAGTCTTCTGAGTCCCATATCCTATGGTAGTTCTACTCCCCTACTGCACTCTGGAGATGAAGCTGGGAGAGGGTGAAGGGGGATTTTGCCAACTCCCTGCCCCTTCTCCACCCCCAGGGTCTCAGGAGGGCAGGGGATAAAAAGATAAGGGGGGGGGGTGCCTGCCGAGTGTTGCCCACTAGATAACCAGTTGGGCCTTCTGCCTCTCCCACCAACGGCCACTCCCTTATCAGTCCAGCCCCCTCCCCCACACCTACCATGGTTCAGTATTGTCTACAAACCAGAAACCCAAAGCTTCAACTCAACCCCTTTTCTTTCTTTAGACTTGCTGTGGAGGAGGGAGGTAGATGGGCCTCCAATGGATCCCACTCTCCTTACAAACAGAAAATAAGAAGCCCCTGGGAAGGAGCCTAGGTTTCAGGGGCTCAGTTTGGAGGCAAGTGGTAACTAGACAGGGTCTCTGCTGGTGTGTATCTATGCCTATGCACAGGTGTCCCCTCTCCACCTCACCCGGCAGCATAGAGTTTCCTGCTCTACTATTACCTGACTGGAAGAAGTGTTATATTCATAGTTGGGTGCCAGCCAGGTCCCAAATGCCATTTTCCCCCTCCCCACCAGACAGGAGGAGAAAGTGAAGCTAAGTCCTAGCCACTGCTGCTTCCTCATGTCCCACAAACTTGATTGCATTTGGAAGGGTATTGGCTGTATCTGAGCCCCCTCTCTAATTTTGATACAAAATCTATTCTGTTCCTTGGTGGGGGGGGGGGAGAGAGACAAAGGAAGACCCTGTGCCAACATGTGCCATGTAATTCTCTCCCCTGGGTCCCCTCCTCACAATATGGGCCAAAGGAGGGTTCCAGAGGGGCCTACCATACACGGTCCCCGAAGGCGCCAAAACTCAGAGCCTGTGTGTACCTGCACACGCGTGTGTCTCATCCTGCCTAGCAGGCTTCCACCCTCAGCTCGCCCCAACATGCCTACCAAGGGTTGGAACCCAGCAGCCCCAGGCAGGATCAGGGTGCCCGCAACAGGCCCTCGCCCCACACATGAGCTCTCAGATGTCACATCCACAGGCTCCCAGTATGACACGCAGCCTTCACAAGCCAGTCAGAACTGAGTGAGGAGCACATGTCCTCGGGAAAGAGACCGTCCCACCCAGTCCCAAGTCCCCGCCACTCCACAGACAGATAAGGCCATGTAAGAAGTCAAAGCTCACATTGCCCACCAGAAACACTGCCTGGGCAATACACCCAACAGTCTAGATTAGGAGACCTGGCCCTCATCCTCTACCTAGGCCCTCCTTTCCACAAAACCATTACTGCCCTGCTCCTTGGTTTCAGGCCCACTCTGAGTATCAGTGTAAGATCCTAGAGAGAGGAGAGGCAAGACACCAGGGTTCCTCTCTAACTCTGGAAAAAGTTTCAGAGCTTCAGTTTCTCACTAGAGAAATGACAGGCACATTACCCAGGGCTGGGTAACAGTTCTGCAGAGCTAAACCCCAAAGCTCAGGGGCCTCTATTTACACATCCAGTGAATGGACACAAATAAAACTCATCATCTCTCCAGAGCCACAACAACTACCAGTAGCCCGAGCACAAGGGCTTGGGAGTGAGAAGAGAAGGGGAGGGAACATCACCCAGACCATCTGTCCCTGTTGCTGCCTGTCCCCAGAAGCAGGGGTAGAGGTAGCAACGTGGGGGTGGGGGTGAGGGGTTGGATGTGTCACCCAGTCTTGGAGTCAGGCAGAACCCTGGCTCCCATCTCTGGCAACCTGGGAGCCTTTAGGAAGGGGGAGGAGAGAGAAAGAACCCAGAACTAGTAAAGTTTTCTCTGAATGGAAGCGGTATCCTGTGGCCTTAGGGGGGCATCTCCAGCTGGGCATTTCCATGGTAACCGGCCTGACCCGAGGTCAGGCCTCCTCCCTTTGGGGGCTGACCATAGGTCAGCAGGCCTGAGGGCCCTGGCCTCCGTGAGCTGGGGCACCTCTCTCCCAGGCCCGGACCAGACCCAGGACTTCCACCCACCCCCAACAGGCTTGCAGGGTGCCCAGACTTACCTGGGAGAACTGAGGGGACCAGGAGAGGTGCGGGGGGCAGCTGGGAGCCCAGAGGGGCACGGCCTGGGGGGCGGGGGGCCGCGGGGAGTCCGGAGCCTTCTTTGTTTGCAAGGTTTCCCTCAACAATGGCTGCTCCGCTCTTTCCTCCTCCTCCTCCTCGGCTCTCCCCGCCGCCGCCTATGCCTCTGCCTCCAAGCAGCCCGCCCGCTCTCCCCAGGCCAGCAGGCCCTTCCGCCGGGGCACCAGCAGAGGCAGGGCCCGGCACTCACACTCACTCACACTCGCACACGCACAGACACACGTAGCGCCCGCCGGCTCCCTTCCTTCTCTCCCTTTCTCTCCCTCCCTCCCCGCTCGCTCTCCCCGAGCCGCTCTCAGAATGAGGCCCCAGGGCGGGCGGAGGGTGGAGCTGCCCCCACCGGCCCCGCCCCCCTCCCTGCGAGGCAGGAGGAAGAGGGAGGGAGCAAGAGAGCGAGGCAGGCAGGGAGGACTGCTGAGAAAAACAAAAGAGAGACAGAGACTGGGAGAGACAGGGGGCCGGACGGAGAGGTGGAGATGGAACAGACTGGGTCCGGAGAGACCTGGATGGAGGGGAGGCCTGTGGGGACCGGGAACGGGAATGCCGCCCTCAAGCCCCAAGTGGGGGTGCTCAGGGGTGAGGTGGGGAGCCAAAGCCACAGGCAAGGATGGAGGAAAGCACTCTTCTCTCTGGAGATTTCCAGTATCATCTAACAGCCTCCTCTGAAACATCCCCCAAATCTCTCTTCCTTTCCTCAGTGATCTTTCAGGTTGGAGGCTGGCCTGGGCAGCCACTCTTGACTGGTGAAATCCCACAGCAGCTGGGGGGAGGCTGCAGGGGGTTATTTTTGACAGAGACACACTCAGACTTCAGCCTGTAAACAGCTGATTGGAGAGAGGGGGACACTCCAGGTTCCCTGCCCACCAACCCAGCTAAGTTCCAAACAAATCTGCCTTAGCAGAGGGAGGCCCCCTTCCCCCCACCCAACATCACCACCACCACCAGACCAGAGACACGTGGGTGCAGGCGAAAGGGGCTCTGTTAGAGTCAAGGAAGGCAAACTTGCCCATCTAAGGATCCCCAGTAGGGGTCCAGTCTTCTGCTGAATCCTCTTCCTACACCCCAGGGACAAAAAAGGTATATGGTTGCCAGGGTAGGACCTGTTCTCCAAAGCAAGGGGGGAATCCCAAGAGACAGACAGACAGAGAGAGAGACACACACACACACCTGGTATGTGTGTGTGTGTGTGTGGGGGGGGGACGGCAGTAAGGACCTCTTACTACTTTGCAATTTGAGTCTCAGCTTTCTATTCCCTAACCCCCAAGCATATTAACACAAAGTCCCACAACAGGATTTCTCATGGCATACACACCAGTTGACTGTGCAGTAACAATATTATTGCACCTGGCTCTGTGAACATCCTCCATACATAAACAACCCATCTCACTTTCACATAAATCAGTACCTGATACACACTTCAACCCATGATATACCTCAAACTCCAAATAAACCCAAACCTAAGAGACACACACATACACAGTCTATGTCAGACCCTGATTTCCATACACACTGGGGCTTGTGACGCACATGCCCCCATCCCCAAGACACACCCCAAAATTGCATCATACCTCCTGAACCTTTGACAGACTGCTACACAGTTTGCTACCCAAGGACTAACTCCACCCTCTTTGAAATCTGCACACCATGATCCCTCATGGCCTGGTCATATGATACACTCTGGCTTTCATAAACATACTGAAAACTATACAATTCAGCCAGAATGCCTACCATCATAGTGCCTACCACCAGGACTTGAGATATTTGCCCTGATTCTCAAATTTACAGCCCAACTCTGGGATAGCTACATTCCTCCCCCTCTGACAGGACAATTCTTGTCATTTGTTTCATGCCTTTAAATTTTGCAAAGTACATTCACAAGGCAGTACCTTAAGAGAGTCTAATAGCATCCAGGGTCAAATATTATCCTATCTTGAACAGATTACAGTGAGACAGGAGGGTTTGAGGCTGGAACCCTGGTTCTAATCCCACTCACACAAGCCCAGCCCTGGGACACTGCAGCCATTCCTACTGCCTGCCCCCTCCAAGGAACGGTCACTCCAGGCCCCAAATGACTGTCTCCTCAGGGACAGGACATGGGTGTGTGCTCTGGCTTCTGCCTCCAGTTCAGAGCTCAGAATCCCCACCCAGTCTGCCTCTTCAAATTTCAGGGAGAAGGGCCCCTAAACACCAAGATGTAGCCAGACTCTGGCATATCATTCAAAACAGTCCCTCTCCTAGTTCCCCATCTCTAGCAAGTCTGTTCCTCTCTTGGTTCTGACTTAATTCTCCCACTTGCACAGGGGCAGAAGAGGTCCAACTGAAGAGAGCAACTCAGAGTTAGAAGCCTCTAAAATTGGTGGGGGGTGGGGTGGGGAGAAAGCTGGGAGCAGCAAAGACTGACAAAGGTGAGGAGGGAGGGAAGGGCCAGAGCAGCCCTTCTGGAGGGGGGAATTCTGAAGGGCAGCAGCCCGCCCCAGCCCACAGGCTAAGGTACCAGCACTGCCCCCTGCCCGGGCCCCTGGGGCTCCCTGACCCAGGCCTCCAGTGTGCCTGCCCCCCTTCCTTTGTCTGTGCCCGGCCTCCCGTTGGCCTGGCGCTCTGCCATCCCCGTCTCCTGGCTCCCAGCCGCCACCACTGCTGCCTCCTCCCCTCCCCCAACTCCTCCCTGCCTTAACCCTTCTGAGCCACACGCTGCCCCAGACAGGCCCTGGCCCCCTCAGCAACCTGCCCTGTCCAGGGTGATGCCCCTTAGCAGAGGTTCTCCCTGCTCCTGACCAAAGCCCCAGAAGCGACTCTGCACCCCAGGAGCACTATGGGAGCTAGGGGTGTGTGTGTGTGTCCTGTAGTGTTTCCTTCCGCGTGTGCATGTGTGTGGGTCTGCGTGTGCTCTGGCTTCCCTCAGTCACATGTGTGGGGCATGTGCTGTCTCTGCTGGGCTGGGGGAGGAGGAGCCGGGAGCCAGCAGAGCACAAAGGAGAGACTCAGACGAGCAGGCAGGCAGCAGGCAGGCGGCCTGCCAGGGCGCCTGGCCCCCCACCCCAGGGCTGCTCAGGTTGGGGGCGGTGGTCTTTGGGCCTGGGCTGTACATGCTGCCACAACGTCCCCGTGTTCAACCATGTGCTCACACACACCCATGCAAGCCTGGTGCCCTCCCTTACCCCAATCCTACCATTTCTCACCCCCAGAACACTCATGTTCCTCCCCAAGGGGTTCTCCTTGAAGACTAACCTCCAACCATGGTTTATGGCATCAATCATAAGACTCCCTTACATTCAAGAAAAAGATTCCCCACTCTTGGCCATCTTAGGCCCCCTCTCCCCCAACCGATCACTAGACACAAGAAAGGAGAATACCATTTAGGGCACTGACTGAAGTTGTCCCCCCTCACACACAAAGGTCCTCATCTGTCCCCATGCTGCTCCCAGAGAGACTGAGAGGGAAACTTTCTCCCTTCTCCTACTGGACCACGCACCCAACTTCAAGACCAACCTACCATCTACCTCCAGTCTGACAACTCTTCTAGACTCGCCTCCTGCCCACTATTTGTAGGAACTAACAATCAACATTTAAGACTCAGCTCTTTAGCTATGCATCCCTTTAGTATGATGATGGACGATCAAGGCCATGGGATGGACTCAAGAGAATGGATGGGTCTGAACAGGGTACTTAGCATGGGACAATTATAAAGAAAATACACACAGGAACATGTGTGATAGGAGGAGCTGATAGGAGGAGCAGTGATGGGGCCAGACAGGATTCCAGCTTGACAGGCTCTTCCCTCCCCTCCTCCCCCCCACCCTCTGCAGCAGGAGCCAGGGGTTCCCACACCCAGATATTCCAGGATCCTCAGGCTCTACTAGCCCTCCCTCTGGGCTCCATGCCCCTTAAACGTCAGCCTCAGCAGGCACTTAAGGTGTGTGCCCAGCCCAGCCCAGCTTTGGTCTGGGTCACATGATTTTCAAGGAAGCTTCCGCACAGGCAGCTTCCCTTGGGGATTGTGTTGGGGGGAAGGGGGGCTTCCAGTTGTAGGGTATGGGCCTCCCAGAGAACAGGGCATGTGAATGGGCAAAGGATCCAAACCAGGCTAGATTCAAGAATATCTGACTTTCAAAAGAAAGCTAATTCCTGCCTGGGACAAGATGGGGTTCTGCAGATAATTCAAGAACCCAGAGTCGTGGGGACGGGTAGAAACCATGTTCTGAGGCCCTCTGAAGACTCCCTCTCCATTCACATGATCCTGGCAGTAGATAAGAGTCTTCCTCTTCCCTAGGAAAGAACTCAGACCCCAGCTGTCACTGGCAAGAACTGATGTGTTTGGGGGGAGGCAGGAATCTGAACCTAAGTCCTCTCATTAGGATCAAGCATCGCTTTCCTCAACTCAAGTCTCACAAGTCACTCAATTTTCTAGCTTGCCTGCGGCTGCCACATTCCCCCTCCCACTAGGGCTGCCAGGCCCAAGGGCCCAATTATCTGCGCCCCCCTCCCCCGCGGACCTCCGGTCCCTCAGGAGGGCCAACCGTCCCTGGCAACAGGCAGGATAATTTGGAGGGGGGCAAAATGGTCCCCACTCAAACCCTCCCCGAAAACAAGAGGCCTCAAGAAACAGTCTGGAGGGAGGTGTCACAAAATGTTAGAGGGAATAAGCAGCAAGGTGGGGGGGCAACCCAAACCAGCCAATCACAACTCTATGATGACCTGAAAGGGGGGGGGGTCAAAAGTCCAGACTCACTTCTGATTGGCTAACACCCTGGAATTCTGGGAATTTCAGCCCCCCCCCCACCCCTCCCTAATTAACCTCCCCTCAAAAAAAACACGCACAACCTACCTCCAGCACCCCTTACCCGTG